GAATAGCCTCCAACCAGGTTTCCTCCCGCCTCACACAAGGGGAGGCCCATCAGCCCTGCTTGGGGAACCTCCCCTCACTCCCACCCCACCCTCATCCTTCCCAGTTGTAGCCCTGGCCCTGCCACCTACGAGCTATGAGACCTTCCAGGCCTCAGCTTCCTCATCTATAAAATGGGGGAGAATAACATCTCACCCAGCTGAAGGCAGGGGCGTGGGAAGTGTAACTCCTGAGGTCACTTCTAGGTCTAAGGCCCCAGACATGGTTCTTGTTGTCAACTATTCTGTCCTTCCAGGTGACTCGCATGACACCACATTGCTGGGAAGTATGAATTAACCAGGGTGCCGCAGCTGCTGTTGCTTCTGCTACCCTGTGTCCCTCCCCCAGCTCCCCACTGGCCAGCTCACCCATGCTTCATCAGAGAAGTAGAGCGCCCTGCAAGCCCCTGAGGGGCTTTCTGAATCACTAAACAGAGGTCAGTCATTTCAGGCTGATGTTAGTGCTGTGGATATTTTTTTTTTTTTAGCTGAGCCATCCTGCCACCTGTTGGCAGCTCAGCGGCAGCTCAGCTCCGGCCGTGAATCAAACCAGGGACCCTGTTGCTCAGAGCTCAAACTCTTGAGCGAGCTCTTAACCAACTGAGCCACTCAGCAGGCCCTGTGGATATTTTGAATGAGGCTTTATTCTTTCACAGTGGGACAAACATGGAGGCTATAGGTGAAATCCTTGGCTGAGAGACTCTCCACTTGAGGACACTGGCCAGCCTGCCAGAACCAGGGAGTGAAGACTTGTCTGCCTCTCCCTCTGTCCAGGGGCTTCTTTTCGACCTTCCCCATCACAACTCTGAGGTGTGAGATGTGTAAACCCAGGCTTTGAGGGTACTTTTGTAATCTTAACCATCCAGCCACTCAGTCACGTAGGCTGTGCCACAGAGGCCATCTTAGCTGTGACCCCTCAGAGAGCAAGGAGGCCTTCAGGGGACTGCTGGCCATGGATGGTGGGCCTCAGGGATGGACTCAGACAAAGCCAGAATCAGAAGGGGGCCCTAGTGTTCTTCCGAGAGGTGAAAGAGCTAAGCAGAGGAGGCTCTGGAACGGAACTGCTTGAGTCTAAACCTTGGTTCTATTGTTCAGTAATTATGACACCGTGAGCAAGTTACTTAACCTTACTGTGCCATTTCAACTGCAAAATGGGGTTTAATTATACTACCTAACACTTGAAATGGTGATGGGGATTAAATGAGTCGATGCACATCAAGTGCTTAGAACAGGGTTGGCACATGGGAAGTGCTCAATAAATATTAGCTATTACTACAATTTTCCCGGCCAATTCTTGTGTCTTAGGATGAGGCCACAGAAAGGGGGTGTGGCTGGCTCATGGTCAGCGCCTGAGCGAGAGCCAGAACCCAGGGCTATGGGCTTGCAATCCAACGCTCATCGTCTTACCTGAAGATCAGTCAGAAAAGAGATATAGAGAAAAGCAAATCTTTATCATGTATTTCCAAGTTCTCATACTCTCCCAACACCCAAATAGATTTGAAAAAAAGAAAAAAAAAAGCAACAAATGACTAGCAAATTCTAGCTGCCTCTTAGTGGGGACTTCATTGATAAAACTCCCCGGAAGTCATGCTGAGGTGTAATCACAGCCCAGCCACCGACAGCATCAGGCTTGGATGACTCACTCACCACGACATCTTGGGTGGATGAGATGTGGCTTTGTGTGGATAGATGAATCACCCTTGAATTTTCCTTGTTAAAATATTCCACCACGGTGGCAACCTCCCTGCAAGTGCTGGTTGCACCCAGAGAAGGTGGGAAGGGAGCAGGGTGTCCCTGGGATAGACACTGGCCAGGCAGAACGGAAGGGGCTCTGGACTTTGTTTCCCATCAGAAAATAAGGGCCATGTCTCCAAAGGCCGCTACTCCCTGGGGAGTCTAGTCCTCTGAGAACTCCAGCTCTTCTTCTTCAGAGCTGTCCCCTTTAAGTCCTGCTTCACTGGGTTCTCTACCCCAGTCACATCGCTCTCCTCTTATCTCCTCTTGCCGAACCTCAAACCGTATGCTATGTTTATCTCTACCATGATGATCCCCTGGCTCAGAAGTCCTCCCTTCCTTGTCCCTTCTTATCCCTACTGTCAGATCCAGCTCAAATCCATCATTTCCAGGGAGCGTCTCTTGTCCCTGAACACCCACAGCACAGGGCTCGGTCAACCCCACCATGTGCCCTCATCTGCATGGGCTAGTCTACTGTAGGGGCTAAGAGCACATATTCTGAGCCAGTCCCCCTGGGTTTGAACCCTGCTTCCCCTACACTCTAGCTGTGTGATTTTATGTAAGCTACTAAACTCTCTGAGCTTCAGTTTCCCCATCTTCAAACAGGGATAATCACGGCCCAGGGTTGCTGTGAGGGTTAAGTCAGTTAATGTAGGTAAAGCCCTATGATAGCATCTTCTTACCCACAGGAGCACTTATTGGGGTGATTACCAAATTCTCTCTTAACTTTGTGTGGCATTTGGGGGTTCCCCAGCTGGACTGCAAGCCCCTTGCAGGCAGAGTCTGGGTCCTCCCTTTCTTTTGTCTCTCCCACCCAATCTAACACAGAGTGGGTGCACAGGGGAGGCACTGAACTCAAGTGTACAGAAGATCAAGGGGCTGTGACCCACATCCATAGCAAACATCGACTAACCAAACCTCTAGGCCAGAGCTGAGGGGGAAGCCAAGGAACATATGGAATGTTTTGTACCAGGTTGCTTGGCCATAGCTTGGTGGATGAGCGGGAGACACAGCTACGTGATGAGCAAGTCTGGAAGCCAGGCTCTCCCCGTGAATACAAGTCTGTTGGTAGCACTAAAGATGGTGCCAGTGAGGGTGGAATTCTGCCTCTAGTTTTCCCAAACTCTGTCCACTCATGGCATATGACCCTGGCACCAGTTCTGGAGGGACAGGGCAAGACTCACCATCCTCCTGGTTCCTCGGATGTACTGAGGCCCGGAGAGGTTGACGACCTGCCCCGTCTTCCTCACTAACAGGAGCCCATCAAGGTAAAAGACGTATCTGCCTCTGCACACAGGGCTCCTTCTCCTCCTCCATCTTCTGGGTCCCCCCACCCCCTGCCAGGCCTGGCTCCCTAGCAGCCTGCTGAGCCCACNTAAAGAGCCAATCACCTTGCTCTGATCAGCCTGCAGCTACAGCCTGGCCTATGGGGGTTTCCGGCAGATTTAGGTGAGTGGAGAGAAGGAAAAGACGCTGAGGAGCAAGGAAAGGGAGTGAAAGCAGAAAGCGCACAGGAGAGAGAGGAGCTGGGCTGGGAGAGAAAAGCCGAGCTGGTGGGGAGGGACGTTTGGACAGAGTTCTTTCTTTTACCAGAACTGGCAGGGCTTTAGACATCATCTGGTTATATGGTTTTCAAGCCTTTTTTTTTTTAACCCACAGAACCCTTTGCTTCATAGAGGGCTTGCTTGACACCCCAATAGACAGTCCAGGTCAAATGGCTCCATGTGTTGGGGGAGGGGATGTCCGTTTGCCTCCTCCACCCCTCCGTGGTCCCCGAGGGCCTTGGTGCCGCCCAGTGCTCGGCACAATGCAGTTTAGCTGATTCACATCAGATCCTTTCATTTTATTTTTACTTATTTATTTATTTTTTTAGCTGAGCCATCCTGCCACCTGTTGGGAGCTCAGTGGCAGCTCAGCTCGGGCAGGGACTCAAACCGCTGTTGCTCAGAGCTCACACTCTTGAGCGAGCTCTTAACCAACTAAGTCACTCGGTCGGCCCAGATCCTTTCATTTTAGAGATGAGCAAAGGGAAGCCAGAGACATTTAACCAGACGAAGTATTGGTGGCAGAACCAGGCCTCCAGCGCCCCAGTACAAGCCTCTGTCTGTGCAGCCCTGCCACTCTGCGACATGGACTTCCACGCTCATGACCTGCCCACAGGGGGCTGGATTTTCTAAAGATGGCCCAGTCCCTTACAGCCAGCAACCCATGGCTCAAACAGGCCTCTAGTTGCTCAAGTCCCACCCACAGCCCATATGCAGGACTCAGGGCCTGTGCATAGGCTGAGAGAGGGGGCCAATCCTCTTCAGGGAGAAGGGCAAAGTTTTCAGACAGCCTCGGGGACCAAGAGGAGCTGGCCCCCAGATACCCGGACTGGGGGAAGAAAAGGGAAGGGGGCCAACTTTGCATGTCCCTCCTACCGTTCCTTTCTCGAACTTGTTGGTGCGGTTCTCTGACTTGCCAAGGTACCGTTCCCCGGTGTCCCCCAGGTCTCCGTAGATGGTGATGTACACCTTGGCATCCGTCCCTGCCCCAGGAACGTTTCCTGTGGTGATCTGTACCGAGTATAGCACAACTGGGCGGGCAGTTGGACAGACAGACAGACGGAGGGACAAAGGGAAGAAAAGGATGGCATCACTTTAGGTTTGGGGGAACTGGATTTGCAGAAGGTATTAGGCTCCTAGCACAGGCCTCAAAGAGGAAGTAGTGTCTTCCTTTTATTTGATCAATTACACACCTTGGGCTATAAGTCCACATGGATTCACCCATGGGAAGTTTGTCCATCTGATTGGGACACCGGACCTTTAAGACCCAAAGGATGGAGACGTCTCCCAATACCCCTCAAAGCATCCACCCATCCAGCTACCTATAGCACCTGGGAGAAACACTCAGGTAACTGCCTCACCTGTGCACTTTGTGGTCACTAAAGCTACTAGCTCTGACACACCGACAATAACATCTCTTCCCATTTGAGGGTGACCAGTATCCACTCCAGATCCTTCTGAACAGTTTATGGAAAAGATCAAAAGTTTTTGAAAAAATAGTTTCCCCTCAGGGCCCATTTCCTAAATTTCATTTATTCTTCAACCAACTGCCGTTTATCATGCGTCCCCAGAACTCCCTGAAAACCCCTCTCAAGCCCCAAGGCCTGCCACCCTCTCCTTGGTCTCCCACGGCCTGTGGGAAGGGCTTGATAAAAACTGGTGTGACAGTTATTAAAAATTATTAAGGAACATAAAAAAACGAACGCTGTCTTGTTTGTGCTTTGCTGCTATGGGCTCATGGAAGAAGAATAAAGTATCTCCTTTCCCAACCTCCACTCTGGGGGGCAGGGCGGGGGAGGCAAATCTTGAGTTTTTATGAAGGATAATGATTCTTTGCCCCCTCTCCATATTCTTCTGTCCTAGCAACTGTGGAGTTTCAGGCCAAGGAAGAGGGGACTTAGCTGGCTTATCCCCAAGGGGAGGGATGGAAGTTGTGGCTTTGAGGGGAAGGGTGGACGTGGCCCAACCGGGAGGAAAGTTAGCTCTCCCAGCCTGGGAGCAGGTAAGGAACCCCTCACCTGCACACAGAGACTCAAGAGGGAGATGGCTATCTGGGGACTTGAAACAAGGAGGCCTCAAGGCTGAAGAGAGGGTCTCATGACTAAACCAGGGTCTGTGGAGAAGCAACAGCGGCCACCCAGAGAAACAATGCCTGCGTGTCAGCAGGGAGCCCACAGCAGGGTTTCTGTGTGGCAGGCATGCACAGAATAGGTGACCCATCCTGGACCAAGGGCCAGACCCCTGCTGTGAGCCTCAGGATTCTTATAAGACCCTAGAAAGGAAAGTGGGGGGGGGTTTCCCTCCTTTCAGTGACGAAATGGACTTTCTTACCAACCCTTGCAAGTGGGCTCGGCACTACATTTAATTAAATTTAGAAAAGTAAGGTGATAGGAGTTGCTCATACCCCTGGTCACTGAGCATATAGACGCCCACAACATAATTCCCGTTATTTCCTTCCATTTCCCTGTGTCCCACAGTGTTACTCTCCCCTGCTCGCCTTCTGCTTCTCTGGTGGCTCCTTCTTGAGCAGCTTTATGGGTTCCTGATCTCCTGCTTGACCCACTGGATGCGACTGTCTCCCAGTGCCATCTACTTCCTTCCGCTCTCACCCTGCATGCCCTGGGTGCCGACTTCTGTGAGTTCCCCGAGTCTGCCTCTCCAAGCTGGTGCCCTCACGTGTTCAGGATCCATACCTCTATCACCTGGGGACCACGTCCACCTGACTAGACCACAGTCACAAACGCACATCTGAACCTGAAACCCACCCCCTCCCACACCCCGTTTTGCAAACCTGCTCCCTGCCCATCCTCCCCATGTCTCCGTAGCCCTACCCAGCACGCAGCTCTCCAAACCTCCAAGCTGCGCTGTGAGAACCGCTCTCGGAGGCCTGCCTCCCTCAAGGGCAGGAACCAGGACCGGTCATGCTGCCCCCTACACCCACCTAGCTCAGCTCAGTGCAGGATCCCACCAGCATTTCATGTGTTGCATTACTAAATAAAACCTTCTCTTTGGTGTTTAAGAGTCAACATTACTCAAGCCTGTCTGGCTAATACTGACATGAGTAACATTTGGAATTTTGTCACAGTTTAAACATAGCGGTGGACTGTCTCCCCACCACTGCTCCCCCCCCCACCCCTCCGCCTTCTAAATTTAATTTTTTCTCTCCATCCATTTCCTGGTTGTGCATTCAGCCCTGCTCTACACCTGGGCAGGACATTTTCTGGGAGCTTTTGTCCCAGAGTGGGGTGCTGTGTCACCAGAGGCTGTGATTAAATGGCCTGCCTTCTCCCCCTCTCCCACCCCCACTGCTCTCTCCAGTCTTTTGGGAATGAGGAAAACTGATTCAGTTTCAGATGCTGAGCAATGCGGCTATGCAGTCAAATCCAGCTATTTCTGGATATTCCTCCCTCCCCGTCCCACCCAGGCCACACAGCTCTCGGTGGAAAGATGTTTCCCTAGAAACATCACCAAGCACAGAGTGGGTTTGCGGCATGTTATTAATACAGAGCGGCCCAAGGGTGCCACTGGGACAGCTTTCCAGGGCGTCCTCTGGGATCCAAGTACAAAAGGGAATTATCCTCCAGACTGAACAACAAAGAAAATTCAGAGAAAAGGATATGGATAGGGAAAGGCATGTTATTGAAGCAACGCTTGCTTTTTATCTCTAAGCGGTGGCAACTCAGATTAACGGAAATGTTAGAGCAGTTTTATATTCCCCAGCTCCATATGGGGCCTGGAATCTTGGGCTTTGTTCCAGTTTTTTTCCAAAAACGCAGTACAACAAATATAAGCTGGATTTCCAAGGCTTTGGAGCATCTCTGATCCTTTATCAAAGATAAAATACGAAAGTATTTTCTTGTATGTCATCATGGCAGAAAGTCTGTTTCTTTGCAAGTGAATTTGATTTTTGACATAGCTAAAGCTTATGTAGAGCTGGTAGCTGGTGACTAACATGGGGGTGGACAAGGAAAATGGCATGTTGCTGGTCAAAACAGGGGTGTGACTCTGTCCATATGGTCCGTGTGTGTGTGTGTGTGTGTGTGTGTGTGTGTGTGTGACAGACTCATATACTCACACGTGCAAACACACACACCCTGTAGAAATAAATGATAAGAGAAAGCTGAGGACTGAGCCTGGAATCAACACCCGCTGGCATGAGAAAAGAAAATAGCATTCAGTCAGAGAGGTAGGAAGACAACCAGAAAATGGTGGTTCAACAGCAGTGAAGAGGTACAGAAGTGTATGGTCAGGCTGAGGCAAACCCTGCGGAGGAAACTACATCAGTGAGGAACGGGTAAAGGTAAGTGACTCCAACAGAAAAGAAACCCGTGACCTCGGTCACTCCGAAGCTGCACCCAGCCCCTGAGAACAAATAAACAGTAGCTCCAGTTATGGGTTAGTTCAGGATGCTTCTGGACTCCTCCTGGTTGGGGCACTGGATCCAGCAAGAGCAGAGAGGACCAAGCCCCACAGACTGTAGCCAAAGAAACCAAGAGGAGGGAAAGAATCAGGAGCAGGATAATCTAGGTGCAGGAGAAGACACATCTGGATGTCCCATCACACTGTCAGGCCAGGAAAGGAGGTGAGTACAAACCCTGGACTGAGAGAGCTGAGACTTTGAAGAACAGCCCTGCCATTTATTGGCGGAGTGAGCTTCGGCAGATTATGTGACCTCTGTGAGCCTCAGGTGCCCCCTGCACGGAATGAAGATAATAATAGACTCTTCCTTCTGCGTAGAAAGGCCCCGCCTGGCACAGGGAAAGTGCCTTACAAGGGAGGTGATGAGGGCAATCGCCACACTTACTGTCCAGCGGCTCCTCCACTTCTGTGTAGATTTGCCTTAAGGACCCATCTTTCATGTATTTCTCAGTGAAGATGTCAAAAGGGACCAGTTCTCGAATGGTCTTCTTATCATCCTCTGAGGTGGCGAGCCATCGATCACAAGCGAAAGTAAAGGTCTCTGAACCCTGGGGTGAGGAGGCAAGAAACAAATTCGTCCTTAATGTGGAAACTGCCACCTTCAGTGGTTCATCAGCATGTCAACACTCACGGGGACCAAGAACAAGGGTCATGGAGCCCCATAGATAGTGCAAAAGCCACAGGGGCGTCCCCCCAACAGCCCTGCCCCAATTCCAGCAGAACTAGTCTTAAAGACTTATACAACCATATCAGGGTTGGCTCTTGAAGGCCGGGGTTCCCAGGGTCACTTAAGAATAGATATCTGAACCCCGTCTCAGAGATGCAGGTTCAGTGGGTACGGGGAGGGGCCCTGTACTTTTAAATTTCTCCCAAATCACTCATATCCACAGCCATGACTGAGAGCTGCCTCCTAAGTTTGGAATTCTGTGGTTTCAGAATGTTTTCCAAGTGATTTAGGTGGATTTCTTTCTGTGTGTTGACCCCGAATAGCAGGAAAAGCATGCTTGGTCACTCACTAGTAGTCTGCCCATGACCCACATGGCTGCCCAGACCCACCTCCCTGACCCCTAAACCTGGTTCTAAAAGCTTCTCCCTGGAACCTGAGCTAGTTCCTGCATGCTGAGTGAACTGGGAGAATTTTTCTCAGAAGATTTTCTCTCAACTTAAGAAGGCTGCAGGTTCCTCTGATGAAGCTGCCTTGAATGTCTTCTGGAAAGAGGCAATAGAAACAGCAGGACGGAGCAATCAGAAACTTACATCTTTATCTGGGAGGAGCCTGCGGATTTCCACGTAGGCACAGTGCCACCCAGGATTTATACCCGTATTATCGTGGCCAATCCGAATTTTTTCAATGATATCTCCCACATCTTCTAACTTTGGGAAGGAGATAATGCACCAGATGTTAGCTGACAGGTCCAAGAAAGTACAACCTGAACAAAAAACCAGCCTCCCCAGGGCGTCATCCTGAGCGCCTTTGAGCTTCCAGGGTCACTTTCGCCCCATTGTCCAGCCAAGCCAGGCCCCACACAGGCCATGTTTATGCCCCGCCCCGCCCCCCTGCTCCCGACCCTAAAATCAGCCCAGTTTCCAGAACTCAGTTCAGTCAAGCTCTGGGATGTTGTCCCTTCTTCTCATGGTGGAGCTCAGCTCTCTCTCTCCCATTACTTACCCTTTTGCGGCTCATTCCCAGCTTGAGAGCCGATGTGAGAACCAGAAGATGAGTTCTAGCTCTGCCCACGCCCTGTCTTGCCAGCCTGATCTTCTCCTCGGCCCCCCAAAAGCCCCCTCCACCTCCAGCCACTCCTCCTCAAATTCCAGTCCCTCAAACTTGACATTCTCTTGCCATAGAGCCTGGCACACGCTCTCCCTGCCCCTCCTTTCCTCTTCTTTACCTGAACCAGTGTCTGTTCAACCTCATCCTTCAGGTCTCAGCTCAAGGATCACTTCCTCAGGGAAACCTTCTGACCACCCGGAAAAAGTCAGGTCTCTTCATGATAGGCTCCTACAGCATCCTACAGGACTGCCCCACCCCCACCCCAACACAGAGCACTTCTCACAGTTGGAAGTTTATTCCTGTAATTTCCTCTCCTCCACCACTGACCGCTGCAGGGCAGGCTCCCCAAAGCCCGGAAAACAGCCTGCGACCTAGGTACTGAATAAATATTGACTGAAAGGATGAAAGAATGAGTGTGTCCTCATCTGCAAAATGGGTGTGACAAAGTCAGCCAGGTTCTCTCTCACATGCAATAGTGAACCTTAACCATGATGATGCGTGTGACAGTCCCATTGAAACAGAAAAACTGATACACGTGGGTCATAGTGAACCCCTGAAATTCAGACGCTGTGATCTCTCCTCTCGCCTGCCTCGAGCCTATGGTCCCAGCGTGCAGAGGAGGGACTCAGTCAGGAGTGACTAATACTTCTTTTGGGATCTCTAAGGAAGTAGTGAGGTGGCCAGATACAAGGCAAGGTCATCCAGTCAGCTGGCACCTGCCTCCCTGGCTATATTTCTGCCAGGCTGCCACTCCAGGGCCTCCAGGGATCTCTTGGGCCTCTCCCAGTTCTCATGTGTCACATTCTTCTCTGAAATGGTGCTGTGCATATTGATCCACACCCTGCCTCATCCCTATGAGCATCTGGGCTATAACAGGACAAGAAAGAGATGAGGAAATTGGGGCAAAAGGAAAAGAGGACAGGGAGGCACCCAGATGCCCTGGCTCATGGTTGGCTTATGGGATTCACGCTTTGAGATTTGATTCAACAGCTGGGGGTACAGAGGGTGTTTGCGTGCAGACTTGAGTTTTCTGGCAGCCCCTCTGTGGAGCTGGCTGCCTGCCTGCCCTGCTCTACCGTGTTCTC